TCTTCTTATTGTTAGCATCTACGGTAGAACGACTTTTCTGCGATTTACATGATAGCAAACAACTGTACAGCTCTTTCAGCAGCTCGGCTATCTCGCTTTCAAGGAATATTCCTAACATCGTTGATCCACGGAACAATTCTCGCGACCTTGTTCTACGCGTCAGATGCCTCGGTATTCGGGTCGCGCGTAATCCTATTCTACGAATTTCAATGCAGTACCCTTCGACCCTTCGAGTGCTCGGAATTACCAAAAGCTAACGAACGAAATCGTTTTCGATTGGAAAAAAAAAATGTTTGTTCGAACACTTTTGCATGCCTGTGTATATATTTGTTTAATTTCGTAAAGTCGGAGTACCATAATACTCGTAATAATCGATTATTTAGAGGGCAATTTAGATTTGACAACTTATATTTCTCCCTGATGTCAACAGATCCACTCAATCGTCTCTGATAGCGAATTCTTATCGTATCACTTTGGATTTACGGGGAACCACGGCATCCTTCATAAACTGTATATTTAAACTTTTCTAACATTCTGCCCTCGTGTTGTTTATATTATTATTTCGATCATCGCGCTGTACTACTTCTGCCCGCCAATGGGGCTTCCCATTTATCGAGCAAATAAACAAATAAATATTTGTCGTAGCCAAAGGGTTCGACGGGGTGACGTTAAGCGGGCACTCGATATATTAAAAAAATTTCCACGTCTCGGGTTCACACCCTACGCGTTCTTTATTTTTCATCGGGAAATGGCAATTACGCCGGATCACCGATTCAATTTAGGCTTTCGACGATTCTCCAACCCCCTCCCACCCTCTGGCATTCCGTCGTAACCGTTTCTACCGCGAATCCCAAAAAATCCATACAACGCAGCGTGTTTTCTCTCCGCAGCCCGGACCCGGTGACATAATACGCGTCGCCATAGGAGAACCGTCGAATTACGGGTGCTCGATCGCCTACGCGCGCACGCATGCACGCACCACCAGCGTATCTCTCTCTCTCTCTGTCGCGCGCGCGCGAAATCCCCCGTCAGTGTGACGCGCGCACACGCACACCGGCCGACGAAACACGCGCCTCCGTGCTGCGCGTGCGCGAAATACGTGTGCGTTGCAGCGCGCACACACCCCCGCTGCCCCCGTGTGCAGTGCGCCGCGCGAGCGTGTGCGTGCGCGAACGCAGCTGTGTAAGTGGCCAGGGGCGCGCGTGCGGCCCCCCAGCGACCTTGAGCCTTCTCGGTCCTCCGTGAGCTTCCCCTCCCACGCTTACCAGCCGGCCTCTGCTCGCCCCCCCACGCGCAATATCTCCCTCCCCTGATGCCGCTGCCGCAATTGCTTCCCTCTCTTTCTCCCCCGCCTCCCACCCACCCTTTCGCTTTCCTTTACTCGCGGTGCCGCGCAGTCAGCGATGGGCTCGAGCTCGCCACGAACGGCCATCGAAACTTTCTACATCGTGCAACGTTTTCGTAATCTTGAACACAGTCTGATAATTCTCGATGGTCTCTTGGAAGTACGTCTTTTTTAAAGATTTTCCGCGGGTTTTTCTATTCTTCCACGAGAAGTTGCAGTCCGCTGACTCGCGGGTATTGGTCGAAAACGGTGACGGTCATATCAGCGGACTGCAGCAAGAGTGGTGCACTCTGCTTCTCGTGGAAGGACTATAGTGTTTTTGGTATCGTTTAACACTCGAAACGACGTATGTAGATCTATCGTAGAAAGAAATTGTTCGACGACTCGTTCGAAGAGAGATTCCGTACGGCCATCGCTAAGCGCCACTCATTGTCAGCGATGCCTCGAGCTCCTGAATTTCCATCTACCTACTCTCTCGCTTTTTCCCCACTCGTTCTACTAGTATCCCTTCCTTTTATTACTCTTTAGTGTTACGCCTGTCTCCGTCGTTCTTTCCGTGTCTTTTTCGTCCTCCCTCCCCACGACTCCTACACTCGTTCCCCTCTTCTTTCGTGGCCCTCGCGCGGCACGACGCCTCTTGCACGCACGCAATGCCGGGCCAGGGAGTGCACACTAAATTTTGGCGAACCAGGGACGTACACAGCGGTGTTCCATCGACGATGACATTCCGGGGCGTGGAGTTCGTAAATCTTCGGCGGGGTTGTTTTGACGTACGGCGCTGGAAGTTAGGTAGCTTTGGTCGACGGGTTGGGCAAGAGTCACGATTCGTTTCGACGCATATATTAGAATACCAGATGCACTTTGTATGTATTTAGAATTGAGTAACAACGTGGAGGATTACCTAAACGTATACACGATCACCGAACGGTTGCATTCTTGCTCGAATAACACTAACACGTTCTGATCGAACAGACCTTTCTAGATTCGATGTTTAATTCTACACATTTGTTGCACGAAACTATGGTAGATGCCTTATAATATCGAGGGAAAGCGGCAATAGTTTGCACCATCTCGACCAAACATTGGGAGGCTTATTGTCGGAATAGAGAATGACGCGAGCCGATTATTTCGTCCCGATTCACTCAGTCGCTCGTAAATTCGTTCTGTGACCTCGACTTGAACGCGCGCCCGTGTAGTTGTTGCGCACCGAGCAACGAGGACACAAGGGCGTTGCGTCGCGTACAACGATGACGTCGAATAATTGCAATTTCGTCGGGAATGTGGCATAAACCAGTCGTTTTTAACCTTTTGCTAACCTAACGAAGCTCAATGCTCCTCGAATTAACGTTCTTCCAGTCTCATTTACATTAGACAACACAGTCGATCGATCTCAAATCGTTTATACCATAGTCTTGTCGCTCGAGATTTTGTTATTCGATATGGCACATGCAGTCCGTCGCAAATTGCCATCAATCCGTGATATCGGTTAATAAATGTAGTTTTATCAAAATTAAATAGTAAGAAATGTCGTCGATGGGTTAAAAATAGAGAAACGATCTATGCTTGGGGCATCGTCCACAATATTGAGAGTTAGTACCCGTTTACACGAAGTTTAAACTCGGCTCAGCTTGGAAAATTGACTTTCTCTCGACTCTGAATTCTTAAAGTGCGTTTAGAAGCATGGAATGCCTAGTTTCAAATTTTCTTTAACAAGAAAACTACGAATGCTCCAATTCGAGCGTGTTCTCTATACACTTTAATGAAAACTCTTACTACGATACGTAACACGCATTCGCGTGATCTTTTCACAGTGAATGCAAACAATCATTATAATAGTGTCGAGTAAACCAAACAGTGCATCGAGTTACAAACAAAATTCTATTACCGACAATTTAAATTTAGAATGATATAAATAAGTATTCGAAAGCCTATAGAAATAGGTAAATAAATGATCACGTACCGTGTAAGGTTATGCTCGTCGTTGCATACAAGTTCGAAACGGTTATTTTCTAGATCTTTTGTAACCTCTGATCGAAAGTATCCGTGATGCATTCTACAGTCGCCGCATAGTCCGCGGCTCGATTAAACTTTCGACCAACAGTGACGTAATCGGTTGGCCCGTGGTAACGAAGCCAACCGTACACAAAGATCCCTTTACGTAGATCCCTACCACGTCGTGCGTCGTTCCTGGCGGGTGGCGCCACTTATCCACGTTTCGGCCCTGGCACGTGTTAGATTAGAAAGTGGCGGGGATGCGCGCGATACCTTAGAAGCGTGACGGGTGGGGAGGATGCGAGCGCGAAACGAGGAGGGGGCGGGAGAGGGTAGAAGGAGAGAAAGACCCATGGACAACCATAAGCAGAGAAGAGAGAGATACGCGTATAGTAGCGAGAGAAGAGCACGCGATGGGAGGGGGTACAGAGCATAGCTCGAACTAAAGTTCTAGCCTTAAGCAATCTTGCCCCACCCTCTGCCGAAAAAGTCGAATCTTACTCTCCCTTCCTCCTCCCACCGTTGGTTCCTCTTCCACCAACCGCTCCCCTTCTCCCACCTACGCGACCTTCCCTCTTCTTCCAGCCGTGCTACCGCCATCGGCCCCACGAAACCACCGAACTCACACTATTTCGTCTAACCGCATTTGCATCGGCACCGATGACCCATATTCACGTTCTTTCCTTCGCGACACGGCCGCACCGACGTCTTTGATCCTCCTTCTCTTTCCCGTCGGTCGGTTTCCTCGCACAGCGGCGATCGACGATCGCCGATCCTCCCGCGCGCTACAGATCCGAGCGTATATCTGTTCCTCCGTGGGTTCGCGGTTAGTGGAACCGTGAGACGGAGAGGGAGCGCGGGGAAAAAAAAAAAAAAGAGAGACAGAGACGAACGGTGGACGGACAGTTACGCGTGATTCGTTCCTCGTCGCGGCGATGCGCGATGCAAGTCGGTGACTCGATTTCGGCTGGGTGAAACGTAGAGACTCAGGGCCATCAGTGTGTACGCGAGCTGTGTTCGGGTACACTTATCGAGGGAATCCGCAGGAACGACGACCACGACACCGGTCCTGCCGCCACTCGTCCGTACACTTCCTCGTCGTTCTCCACGGCGAGACCACGACCGCAGCCTCCGATCCGCGAAAACAGTGCGACCGTGAGAGTAACAAGCTTTCCCGAGGATCATGTGTCGCGTGGACACGTGTACGCGAGTACGGTGCACGAAGCGCTGCCTTCAGTGAGTTCGAGCCACGCTCGGAATTCGGGGGTTATTATTGCAGTGGTTTCGGCGGCAAGAGGAACGCCGGTGTACGATTTCCAAGTGCGTTCGCGGATCGTTGAAAAGGTTCGAACGAGGCGCGGGTCCACCGATGCTTTGGTGTTGTATGCGTTGAACCTGCTGCGAGCGGACGGTAATACGGTCCTGAGCATTTTCGGTAGGTTTCGCTCGACGTTTATTATCGCGTACCGCGGAAATCCGGTCCAAGTTTCCACGAGCACAATGCAACCGGCGATCGATCACGGATACGGGAATAACGCGATGTTATTTTCTCTTAACCGGTGAATCGGAACGTTTTCGAACGTTCGAAAGAGATCACTCGCGACACCCGTATCACCTACGTTTTATCGATACACGAACACTGTATAAAATATTTTCTGTACAGCTGGACGTACTGTTGTTGGGCACGAGCGCGATCAGGAAGGAAAATACCCACTCGAAGGTGGCAGAGACAGGGGTGGCGAAGGTCACGGGGTTGGGCCTAGGGGTGGCATCATGGACTCTCACCAGCACCAGTTCTGTCTCAAGTGGAATAGTTTCGGTAGCAACTTAGCGACAGCGTTCTCGAATTTGTTCAAAAGCGAGAGTCTGACCGATGTCACCCTGTTCTGCGAGGGTAAGTCTCACATTATCCTACATTTATGACGTCTTGTTTCTACTGTCTATATTCCAGCAGCCAGAATTTTCCACTCGAATGGCGCGAGAAATCTCGTGGAACGTATTTTAAACAATTAGAAATATCCTTAATACGGGTTGTATTGCATCAATGGCGCGAGAAAAACCTTAAGGTATTTCCATGACACGAAATAATACGATATCTGGAACGTCCACGTGTCGCGTAGCCGTGGACGTCGAGTCGTTGCAACGAACCGTTGCGATTTCTGTCGCTTATCGGTGATTAGTAACGCGCGAAAACCGACGTCGAAAGCGTTGAAATCACGGATTCGCGCGGAAAGCTTAACGCCCGTGGTATGGATCGAAGCGGGCGCCATCGCTCGTTGCACGCGAATACGGCTCACCTGAGTACCGGGTGCAGTTGCAACCGGTGCACGTGCACGTGTGCGAGTGCAGGCGAGAAGTGCAGCGACTGCGGATTGGCCCGCCCCTACCCCCGTTTCACCCAATCGCGCGGGGCTAGTCCTACACTCGCGCAGTGTCGGTCGCCGTGCATGCGAATCTCGACGGCTTTGACATCGGGACGCGCGTGTGTGCAACCGATGTACGCGTGTATACGTACGTGTACGCGGTTGCACGCGTGTTGCCGCCAGTCAGAGTGCGCGATTTCCCCCGACGAATGCAACATTCTTACGGATTCGTGGCGCGAAACAGCAGTCCGCGGCGAGCTGCGGTGCAACGCGTTCGGTGCATCTGCATCGGCGTCGCTCGTCGTTTCCGTGGCTCGAAAGCGGATCGATTCGCGTTAGACCGCGACGGGAAAGTGGTGTATAAAAGCAACGGGAAACACGACGATCCGGCGATTAAGTAACGATCGGTTGTTTTAATTGATTTAGGCATTTTATCGTGATCGTAGAACGTTATCGGCGCTGAGATAATTCGAGTCCATTCTGAATACTTTCGATAAGATCTAACAAGAATTGTACGATTCCTTTGAAAACATTTATTGTAATAAGCGGAGAAGCGTAATGTAGAAATAACGTATACGTCTTTATTCGTTTGCAATGGTTTTTGAAACGAGCGTATTTACATTTAACATGTGGTTTTCCTATCTGAATCTATTAAGATTCATCTGTAAATATCATTCTTTATCACTGTTTTCTTGCCCAATTCAAATGAGGTTTTACTCGTTGTTCGAGACCAAATTCATTTAAATAACGTCGAACGGTCGGGGCACTTGTTTGTTTATCAGAATCTGGGAAAATTTCCGCCTGAATGAGAATTACGGTTTCGAATCTGTTTACCTCGGATAAGCGTATCTTTCAAGGAACACCTTCGACTGTTCCATGACTCTTAATATGCTGCGTTGCTTGACAACATGCCATAACAGATATCTCTAAACAGAGAAAACTGGTGTGGCAGTGAAAGTGCTAACCGTTGGTTTCGTTGGTGCGTTAAATAATGCGAAAAGTTCGTGACATTGAACCACGAATAATTGAAAAGAAGCGATAATAAGATGGAACGGATGACGTTTCCTACGTCTGAATCGACCGATTATGCATTCACGGTACGTTGCTTTAATATCGATATTTCGAATGAAAACGATTAACGCGTTGCAGTACAATAGGGGTCGTATTATATCGAATAACGTTTAAAACTTTTACGATTCCCGTGATTTTTCACGTCGAACAGTGAGGTATTTGCCTTAAAAATTTGAATATACTAATTCCACATCTACATAGATTATCGTTGACGATAATTGGTATTGTAAAAAAAATCTTTGACCGATGTATCTCTCATTTGTATCGACGAGACCAGCTTTCGACACATCTAGCAAAATACAACAAAGAATTAGTACCTCTGGAATCGTAAAATTTGGGTTCCACGAAGACCCTAGGCTACCTGGATATCATGAAATAATGCTTTGCGCGCGGGAATTTTCGATATTCGTCGGAAAATGACTTTTTCGCGCCGCAGTGTTTATTTGTCTGTCTTATCGTACGTATCGCTGTGCAATCGTCAACAGATCAGTTAAAAATGCAATTAAACAGTGCAATTAAAAATTTATTCTGTATTCATCTTAATCCATTTGCAACGAAAGTTAAGTGCAAATGTTTGCAAGCAACGAACGTGTAACTTTGTATATTATTGCATATTTTTTCTTACAATTTATTACTGAAAAATTAGCTACACGCGACTCGACGAATGCAATAAAGCAACGTAGAAAACTGTTTCTGATAAATATTTATTTTCGTTGGCTAGAATCATTCACTTTTCATCGATGGTATATAATTCATATTTTCGAAGGTTCGAAATATTAAAATAGTTTTTACCGCCTTTTCGAGGTAAATACCCCACGTTCAACGTTTATCGTTCCCACCGAAATCAAACGCATCGCGAAATCACCGCGTAAGCTTTCGATCTTATTTATATTTGCGACGATAACGGGGTATTACACGCCAGCACGTGGGACTAGATATATGTTCCTTTATCAGGCGTGCCGAGTAAACAAGAATGTGCAATTCTCGTGGTATACGATTTTCGTGACTTCTGTTTCCGCGCCTCGAATCGCAAATTTTAATAACAGATTACAATTAAATAATAATAGATTAAATTAAATAATAGATTACAATTTCGATCCACCAGCAGGACAGATGGATATTTTCTACCCCTGATATTATTATTTCGATAATTTCCCACGAAATAATTATTCGAAAATTCGTATATAATTAAATATTGCGTAACAGTCTTCACACGAGAACGTAAATATTGTCTCGAAAACTTTTAGTACGATGTAACATTTCTATCGGATTGCTTCATCGCTGCGACGAATGACCCGATTAATAACCGATCGTTTAAAAATGATCAGTGTGATTCGTTCGGAAACTTTGCTTAATAGAAAATCTTATTAACCGATGAACATAACTTGAGAAATCTTTTACGTGTTTTATAGTCCAGAATTTTGGATTCAGAAATCCTCTGAGAAAGACATTACGCGTTGGAAAAGTAATGTGATAACGTTGAATGCATTTCTTTTTGCAAGTTTTGTATGTTATTGTTCGATGTTATAGGTTTTTATTTGCTGAGTATAATATCGTTTTCGAGCCATGGGAACAACAAAATGACTGCATCGACGCTGCAGTACCGTTATTGAATTCTATTATCGAAAGTATGACTCTGTAATGGTAGATATTTGTGTCAGCCAGATTCAGGGACCGTTAACGGCGTTCTGTTAAGTGCAGCACGCAAGGAAAGTTCTGGCGGACGACATGGGTTGACCGACTAATCGCTATCGCTGACGATGATCATAGTGTTGGACGCTTAATTGGTCAGTTGGCCTATCGGAGCCTGTATTATTTCGTATAACGGTTTTTACGAACCATCTAGATCGATCGTCCGCGCTTTGATCCCAATGTTACCAAAATTTATCCCCATTTATCGTGTATTAACCCTTAAGTGTACTTTAAATCTCAACTGAATTATTTTACTTGGTGTTAATTTTTACCAAATAATTACATTGACATATATTAAATAATTCTTAAAGGTTAAACATCGACACAATAGTCGATTTGGATTTAACGTTGCACCTGTTCGTTTCTGATATCAGTGAGACAGGTCAAACGTTTCTGCAAATTGCGTTTATTGTTTTCGATAGATGAATTTGTTATTTATTAGATCCATTTTTATTGTCCCATCAGATACCAGAGACCTTTTTTTTTACGACGTTCCGATGCAAGAGGAATTATTTTCCATATTACCATATAATTTTGTGACGAAGCAAAATCACGGAAAAAGTGTTCTACAGTTTCATTTTTACATTGGTGTTTCAGTTTATTTGCGCGCATCGTTCCCGTAGAAATTACATCCGGCGTAGACGTAAGAAAAGATACGAGATACGAGAAATGTCTTGGAAAGGATTAGGAATCGCCCGGTCCCTAACGGTTTCTCCGCACGCGTGTCCCGATTTCACGAAAAACGTCGCTGGAACGCGCCTAGTTCTGTCGGCGAAGGGAAAGGAAAAGTTTCCTCCTTTCGGTGTCCCGGAATACCACCGAAGGCCGAAAGTTTGCCCGCTCGAAGGCGAAAGTCGACGAAAAGCCGTTCCGATGGGAGAAACGGGGAGGGTAATTCGATGCTTTGTCGCCTCATGAGTGGTCTTTCTTTTCGAAAAAGGCAAAGGGTGAGAACGTAAAAGGAAGGTCGGTAGGTGGGAAGGGTTCAAGGACGACGGAACCGTAGGAAAGGGATTCGGTTAACGCACGGCTACAAAGAGGATCGTGGTTGAGCAACGCGCGCTTTCGGCGTGCACGCACGCGCGCGCGCATGCGCGACCGTCGGTACGCCGTTCGGATATTTGTGATCGTCGAAAGCCCAAAGGAAGCCGAAAAGTAGGCCCGGGTTACAGTTAGATCTAACAGTCTTCTTCGCGGTCTTCTTCACCCGTTATAGCCGATGCACACTGGCCGATGAATTTTGACACGTGGTACACGCACTGGCACGCAGGACACGACTACGACGTGCCACTATAAAAAGATACAGTTACGGTAACCTATCTTACCCGCGCCATTTTTCTTATACGGAATATTTTAACGCGAACGCATAAAAATAATCATCGCCGCAGATAACTTCGCGTCGTGTTTATTTTGATATACAGGGCGTTCGGCCAACCCTGGGAAATATTTTAATGGAAGATTCTAGAGGCAAAAATAAGACGAAAATAAAGAATATCAGTTTCTTGGCTGAGGCTTCTTTAAAAAGTTATTAACAATTAAATTGAAAAGTTTCAAATCGTTCTGGAAAAATTATTTTTAGTTACAGGGATCAATTACAAGTATTTTTGGTCAAAAGATATGCCCTCGAAATCCTACTCAGTATCGAGAAAAAAATTCAAGTAGGTGCTGACATTTTTCGGTGAAATTGAAAAATTTCAAATCGTTCTGGAAAAAATATTTTCACTTGCAAGGGTCAATTGCAATCATTTTTGGTGAATAGACATACCCC